TAAAAGTTACATCAAGTTGTGTTATAATCGTCTTAATCTCTATAAAAACAAACTACTCGGAAAAACAAAATGGCATATATATAGACACTCTATAGACAAAGCACATAACTGAGCAAAAATGAAAGATAAGAATACAAAAAATGACCACAGCACAATAACACAATGGCGAGATGAATAAATACCGAGCCACGCCAAAAGTATATTACCAAAAATGAACCGTAAACAGTAAAGGTTAAAATTATACAAACACAAATAAAAAAAAAACCCACACTATAACACGTAATTAAGACGATAAACAACGTCATGCAGTACCTAGAATCTATACTTCAAGAGTGAATACCATCTTGTATTATTTGTGAAGTTGATACGGAAGATTTACCAACAAGGTCTTGGTATCTTCCGATGAACTATTTTAGAAGAGGACGAGACGTTCTATGACATGCAGAAATTGTATCATATGTCTCTGCTGTGAATATGATCATATTTGATTGGACCCAGATTAAATCTACTATCTGGCATAACTTTCAAGTAAGATTTCAGATTCTAAATGATCGCTTATAAATTTCGTATGCTGCCTTTATTTCAAGTTGAGGGCATTTGAAAAGAAAGAAATGTAATCAAAATTTAAAATTCCGACAGCGTGTTCTCGTACATCATGCAAATAAACAGGTATTTTGGATTTTGTTTTAAACTTGTGACACATACTCTAGGAGATGTATCACTGACGTGTAATCGCTTACAAATCGCTTTAAATATCCACATATATAAAAAAAGTTTCGTAATTAAACTTTCAATCTCAGTGATAAGATTTAGTATAAATTACAGATTATAAATTTATCAAAATAGTCATAAGGGTTTCCGATAAGTTTAGATATTACTGCATACTAACGGGAGGTTCGGTGTATTAGTATAATCACCTCGGTAATGGATATTTAGTCAACAGATGAAAAACTTTTTAGTTCTCGTCGGTCTTTACTGACAATGATTTACTGTGATATTTAAGCAAATAGTAGAAAATAGAATTCTGATATATACTAATTAAAATCAAGCACAAATCAGAATTTTAATATCTTTACTGGTAAAAATCTGTTGCCAGGGATATCCAGATATCCCACGGTATATTGTGATCCGGGGTCCACTAAGAGGGTCCCAACTCTGGAGGTAGGTATCATGCAGGGTTCTTTAAATGTAGACCTCGGGTCCAAAGGGAACTGTGGACCTCGTGTTATTGTTTAAAGTTCAATCATATCTCCACATGATCTTCTGTATCCCAAAGTTGGTAATTTCAGTTTTCAAAAAAAAAGAGGATGTGGTATGATATTGCCAATGGGAAAACTCTTCACCAAAGACCAAAGACGTAGAATTTAGCAACCATAGGTCACAGTACGATCTTCAACAATGAGCAAAAATCATACAGCATAGCAAGCTATAAAATAATTAGTTGTAATATACCTTGTATTTGATTATTAGTACCTTGTAAGGATCAAGTTTTCAATATTTTTATCATATTCAGTGGGACAGAAACATACTTGTTATTATACTATTTGACCCTGATTGGGTCTGATATGCCATTTTTGCAGTCCCGCTTCAAATAATCGATTTGCCGTACAATAGTATTCAACCAAATTAATATGAAAGCCGAGTCAACTGATATTGATAAATTAACTATAACTGTCCATTTATAAAGTACAATGTGTCTTATTTGTGCGATTGTATTTCCTTATAGGCAACGTGACACACTCAAGTTTTCTGGAAAAAAGAAATAGAAGTAAAAATGAAAGGAGAAATACCTATGAGATGAACTACAGAGAATAAAGACGGACAACACAACGACCAAAAGAAAACAAATAACTAAAATACAAACAACAACCCGCACAACACTATCAAGAGAAAACTAAACATTTGCATGTCTCGAGCAACACGAACTTCCACCAGAACTGAAGTTCACTAGGGGCCTCAGTGACCGAATGTTCCATACTATCTATACATGCAGTGATCACTACCAGTTTCAATTCTGAGGTTGAGTTCGAACCAAATGAAATTTACACGAATAAACAACTAATTCGTGCTCTGTTTAAAAAGAAATGCTATACCACAGTTTTCAGAAAACATACACAAAAAGATATAAAAATCTTTTATAGAAAATACTTTATTGAATGAACTGTTGACACAGAGATATGTCTCGCCTTTTTAATTGTAATTTTGACAGTATAATGCAAATATTGAATCTAAATGGCAATATTTAAACATGCAAACTATGCAAAACATTCAAAGTCAATGAACCATGATTTATGGTACAGGACCAAATAACCCCGGCAATGGAAATGCGACGGGAATACGCTGTAAGGTCTTGTGATCGACAATCACATCGAAAGTATAGTGTACCGACATATATATCTCAACGTATATTTGTTCTGCCTAACAGAAGTTTCCCAGGAAACTTTGTTATAAACAATGCCATTATATCAGTTCCTATTAACTGGAACAAATATTCTATACCATTTATTCCGTAAGGAACAAATTCTGTAATATGTGTTCCAGTGGAAATAGTAGTATACTGAAAAAAAGAATAGAGGAAAATGGGCAAAAAAAAAATAAAGAATGGAGAATAATGGGGTGCTAAATTATAAAGAATAACTACAAAAATTAAAGAATTGGGTAAAAATATACATGTACAGAAAAGAACAATGTCCAGAATACAGTTATCAATTAATTACAGAATAGCCATTATTTTTAAAGATAAAGAATAATGAGCGAAAAAAATTAAAGAATAAAGAAATGAAGGACCCCCATCCATACCCTCAATTGTAGTCTGTGTCATCAGAGGCGGATTTAGGGGGGCAGGGGGCTCGCCCTCCCCCCTTTTGTGAGAAAAATTTGGTTGATTATTTAGGGAATCACTGAAGCATGACTGGAGAGGGCCCACTCTTTTAACAGTCAGTGCCCCCCCCCCCCCCCTTTTATGAAAATTTCTGGATCCGCCACTGGTCCTTCCTTTGATATCATGTGTAAAACAACCATCGAAAACCAACTCTTAAAACATTTTACCGGTTTTTGCTGCCAATCGACATATATATATTTTTGTGCAAAATGTGAGACGTTATAAAAATAATTAATTGTTTTGAATTGCTGCATGATTACTAAGAATCCCAGAGGAACGGAAAAGCACCAGACAAGGATCAATACCTGACAGACAGGTTGATGGATATCAGAAAAGCCTTTGCCTGTTTATCCATGATCTTCTGCTAAAACTGGAAAACTATAGTCCGACCATATGTGAAAGAAAAAAATGCACTCAAACAAAATCGGTTGGGTTTTTCCCCGCCATTTGGACTTTCAGATTATTTATTGCAAATATGTCCTACAATTTGTGCTTACCATTTAATTTAATTCCTGGCATTTAAATTAAAATTCAATAGTCGTGGTGATAATTTAACTAACTTCCTAAAATTTCATTTAATCTAGGATTTCATGATATATGTCACTATATCTGTTTCTTAAATTGTGTACAAAAAGCTTTAAAGGGATTTTATAATTTAATAACATGCAGTTTGCAATATTTTCAGAGAGAATACGGGTAATCGAGTTACGACAGGTCTGTATTTGTCAAGTTTTACACCTTAAAAAAAAAACTAAAGCTGTCATATTTGTTGCTTTAACCTTTAATCTTATATCATCTGAATGAAAATTATGTTCACATTTTGTTTCTTCAAAATGTCATGATTTTCTAAATTGAAATAAAACGTGTTTTTCTTTTGGAAATAAAAGAAAATACGGAATAATGATTAAAACAAGAAAGTGTACATAGTTCAAAACAAATATTCACAATAAAAGACGATCTGCTGAGCGTTTGGTTGACTTATGTATACGACAATGGTCATTCTATGTCAATCTTCATGTCAATTGAATACGATAAACTGAAACATTCACAAAACACTTCATGTTTTTCTCCGACCTTTTTTGTAATGTTCAAACGACTCAGTCTTTCAGTCTGTTGATTTGTAAACTGTTGTTTGCATGTCGTTTCGTCTTTTTTAACCATGGTGTTGCGAATATTTACTTTTTCAGTGCACGTTCCATTTATCAAAGTATCTTCTGAATTTGAATGTGGACTAATTTCCCCTGAATTTATCATACTTTACTCAAGGGACATTCTCAACAAGTAGTTCAATCCTTACTTTTAAAAATGCACTGTATGCATGACAGCTCCATGTGCAATTCAATTCAATTCGATTTGATTCGCTTCGATTCGATTCGTTTCAATTCAATTCAATTCAATTCAATTCAATTCAAAGTTTTATTAAAGATCGATATTCAATAAACTATACATAAACACAAGCTCTATAGTGAGCTTTTCAAATCGACTGAATAACAAAATATATATACACACATACAAAAGTCATGAAAACAACACAATTTTAAACATACAGTGCATGGTAAGATAACATAGATGACATAAACAAGTTATAAGCATAGTTTTAGTCATATTTTCGGAAATGTGCATGCAAAATACCAGGCTGAAGCTAGCGAACAATAACTAGCGAACAATAAGCCAGCGAACAATAAGGCGATATATCTAAAAACCGAAAAAATGAATAAGACAGCAACGGCCGTTAAATGAAATATATTTAAACAGGCAGAAATTCCGTCCAAATATTTCAATTTCAACTCTATCATGAAATGGTATTTATCCCATCCATTGATAAAACAAATCACATCTCTTTTTAAGCATACTTTCAGTACCACAGTAAATCTGCATCTGTCAACGGATTATTTGTAGGTGTAAAACCACCACTTCCATTTAGAACGTATGTAAAAGTAGTCCTTCCCTGTAAAATACAGCACCTTTGATGTCATTGTTTAATTGAACTAAGATACACATTTGCAGAAATGGGGGTTGGCCTATTCCATGGCTTCTTGAGAAAAATAATGAGGGGTGTCACTGGGTATGACTAGGTCTTGTAGAGGAGAAAAAGGCGCATCTTTTGCGCAAGGTATCCAAGGGCGCTATGTTCAAAAATCTGAAACTAGAGCGCAAAATTTGAAAAAAAATTGTTAAAAACAGGGGGAATGGCCTATTCCATGGCTTCTAGAGAAAAATAATGAGGGGTGTCACGGGGTATGACTATATAGGTCTTGTAGAGGAGAAACAGGCGCATCTTTTGCGCAAGGTATCGAAGGGCGCTATGTTCAAGAATCTGAAACTAGAGCGCAAAATTTGAAAAAAAATTTGTTAAAAACAGGGGGGTTGGCCTATTCCATGGCTTCTACAGAAAAATAAAGAGGGGTGTCGCGGGGTATGACTATATAGGTCTTGTAGAGGAGAAACAGGCGCATCTTTTGCGCAAGGTATCGAGGGGCGCTATGTTAAAAAATCTGAAACTAGAGCTCAAAATTTGAAGAAAACAATTGTTAAAAACAGGGGGTTGGCCTATTCCATGGCTTCTAGGGAAAAATAATGAGGGGTGTCACGGGGTATGACTATATAGGTCTTGTAGAAGAGAAACAGTCGCATCTTTTGCGCAAGGTATCGAAGGGCGCTATGTTAAAAAATCTGAAACTAGAGCTCAAAATTTGAAAAAAAATGTTAAAAACAGGGGGTTTGGCCTATTCCATGGCTTCTACAGAAAAATAATAAGTGGTATCACGGGGTATGACAATCTAGGTCTTGTAGAAGAGAAACAGGCGCATCTCTTGCGCAAGGTATCGAAGGGCGCTATGTTCAAAAATCTGAAACTAGAGTCCAAAATTTGAAAAAAATTGTTAAAAACAGGGGGGTTGGCCTATTCCATGGCTTCTAGAGAAAAATAATGAGGGGTGTCACGGGGTATGACTATATAGGTCTTATAGTGGAGAAACAGGCGCATCCTTGGGCAAGGTATTGAATGGCGCTATGTTAAAAAATCTGAAAGTAGAGCTCAAAATTTGAAATTATTTTTATTAAAAACAGGGGTGTAGGCCTATTCCATGGCTTCTAGAGAAAAATAATGAGGGGTGTCACGGGGTATGACTATATAGGTCTTGTAGAAGAGAAACAGGCGCATCTTTTGCGCAAGGTATCGAAGGGCGCTATGTTAAAAAATCTGAAACTAGAGCTCAAAATTTGAAAAAAAATGTTAAAAACAGGGGGTTTGGCCTATTCCATGGCTTCTACCGAAAAATAATAAGTGGTATCACGGGGTATGACAATCTAGGTCTTGTAGAAGAGAAACAGGCGCATCTATTGCGCAAGGTATCGAAGGGCGCTATGTTCAAAAATCTGAAACTAGAGTCCAAAATTTGAAAAAAATTGTTAAAAACAGGGGGGTTGGCCTATTCCATGGCTTCTAGAGAAAAATAATGAGGGGTGTCACGGGGTATGACTATATAGGTCTTATAGTGGAGAAACAGGCGCATCCTTGGGCAAGGTATTGAATGGCGCTATGTTAAAAAATCTGAAAGTAGAGCTCAAAATTTGAAATTATTTTTATTAAAAACAGGGGTGTAGGCCTATTCCATGGCTTCTAGAGAAAAGTAATGAGGGGTGTCACGGGGTATGACTATATAGGTCTTGTAGAAGAGAAACAGGCGCATCTTTTGCGCAAGGTATCGAAGGGCGCTATGTTCAAAAATCTGAAACTAGAGCTCAAAATTTGAAAAAAAATGTTAAAAACAGGGGGTTTGGCCTATTCCATGGCTTCTACCGAAAAATAATAAGTGGTATCACGGGGTATGACAATCTAGGTCTTGTAGAAGAGAAACAGGCGCATCTCTTGCGCAAGGTATCGAAGGGCGCTATGTTCAAAAATCTGAAACTAGAGTCCAAAATTTGAAAAAAATTGTTAAAAACAGGGGGGTTGGCCTATTCCATGGCTTCTACCGAAAAATAATGAGGGGTGTCACGGGGTATGACTATATAGGTCTTATAGTGGAGAAACAGGCGCATCCTTGGGCAAGGTATTGAATGGCGCTATGTTAAAAAATCTGAAAGTAGAGCTCAAAATTTGAAATTATTTTTATTAAAAACAGGGGTGTAGGCCTATTCCATGGCTTCTAGAGAAAAATAATGAGGGGTGTCACGGGGTATGACTATATAGGTCTTGTAGAAGAGAAACAGGCGCATCTTTTGCGCAAGGTATCGAAGGGCGCTATGTTCAAAAATCTGAAACTAGAGCTCAAAATTTGAAAAAAAAGTGTTAAAAACAGGGGGGTTGGCCTATTCCATGGCTTCTAGAGAAAAATAATGAGGAGTGTCACGGGGTATGACTATATAGGTCTTAAAGAAGAGAAACAGGCGCATCTTTTGCGCAAGGTATCGAAAGGCGCTATGTTCAAAAATCTGAAACTAGAGCTCAAAATTTGAAAAAAAATTGTTAAAAACAGGGGGTTGGCCTATTTCATGGCTTCTAGGGAAAAATAATTAGAGGTGTCACGGGGTATGACTATATAGGTCTTGTAGAAGAGAAACAGGCCCATCTTTTGCGCAAGGTATCGAAGGGCGCTATGTTCAAAAATCTGAAACTAGAGCTCAAAATTTGAAAAAAAAGTGTTAAAAACAGGGGGGTTGGCCTATTCCATGGCTTCTAGAGAAAAATAATGAGGGGTGTCACGGAGTATGACTATATAGGTCTTGTAGAGGAGAAACAGGCGCATCTTTAGCGTAAGGTATCGAAGGGCGCTATGTTCGAAAATCTGAAACTACAGCTTAAAATTTGAAAAAAAATTGTTAAAAACAGGGGGGTTGGCCTATTCCATGGCTTCTAGAGAAAAATAATGAGGGGTGTCACGTGGTATGACTATATAGGTCTTGTAGAGAAGAAACAGGCGCATCTTTTGCGCAAGGTATCGAAGGGCGCTATGATCAAAAATATGAAACAAGAGCTCAAAATTTGAAAAAAATTGTTAAAAACAGGGGGAATGGCCTATTCCATGGCTTCTAGAGAAAAATAATGAGGGGTGTCACGGGGTATGACTATATAGGTCTTGTAGAAGAGAAACAAGCGCATCTTTTCCGCAAGGTAACGAAGGGCGCTATGTTCAAAAATCTGAAACTAGAGCTCAAAATTTGAAAAAAAAATATTATAAACAGGGGTTTGGCCTATTCCATGGTTTCTACAGAAAAATAATGAGGGGTGTCAGGTGTATGACTATATAGGTCTTGTAGAGGAGAAACAGGCGCATCTTTTGCGCAAGATATCGAGGGGCGCTATGTTCAAAAATCTGAAACTAGAGCTCAAAATTTGAAAGAAAAATTAGTTAAAAACAGGGGTTGGCCTATTCCATGGCTTCTAGGGGAAAAAATGAGGGGTGTCACGGGGTATAACTATATAGGTCTTGTAGAGGAGAAACAGGCGCATCTCTTGCGTAAGGTATCGAAGGGCGCTATGTCCAAAAATCTGAAACTAGAGCTCAAAATTTGAAAAATACTTGTTAAAAACAGGGGGAATGGCCTATTCCATGGCTTCTAGAGAAAAATAATGAGGGGTGTCACGGGGTAAGACTATATAGGTCTTGTAGAGGAGAAAAAGGCGCATCTTTTGCGTAAGGTATCGAAGGGCGCTATGTTCAAAAATCTGAAACTAGAGCGCAAAATTTGAAAAAAAAATTGTTAAAAACAGGGGGGTTGGCCTATTCCATGGCTTCTACAGAAAAATAAAGAGGGGTGTCACGGTGTATGACTATATAGGTCTTGTAGAGGAGAAACAGGCGCATCTTATGCGCAAGGTATCGAGGGGCGCTATGTTAAAAAATCTGAAACTAGAGCTCAAAATTTGAAAAAAAAAATAGTTAAAAACAGGGGGAATGGCCTATTCCATGGCTTCTAGAGAAAAATAATGAGGGGTTTCACGGGGTATGACTATATAGGTCTTGTAGAGCAGAAACAGGCGCATCTTTTGCGTAAGGCATCGAAGGGCGCTATGTTCAAAAATCTGAAACTAGAGCTCAAAATTTGAAAAAAAAATTGTTAAAATCAGGGGGGGGGGGTTGGCTTATTCCATGGCTTCTAGAGAAAAATAATGAGGGGTCTCACGGGGTATGACTATATGGGTCTTGTAGAGGAGAAAAAGGCGCATCTTTTGCGCAAGGTATCGAAGGGCGCTATGTCCAAAAATCTGAAACTAGAGCTCAAAATTTGAAAAAAAAATGTTAAAAACAGGGGGGTTGGCCTATTCCATGGCTTCTAGAGAAAAATAATGAGGAGTGTCACGGGGTATGACTATATAGGTCTTAAAGAAGAGAAACAGGCGCATTTTTTGCGCAAGGTATCGAAAGGCGCTATGTTCAAAAATCTGAAACTAGAGCTCAAAATTTGAAAAAAAATTGTTAAAAACAGGGGGTTGGCCTATTTCATGGCTTCTAGAGAAAAATAATGAGAGGTGTCACGGGGTATGACTATATAGGTCTTGTAGAAGAGAAACAGGCCCATCTTTTGCGCAAGGTATCGAAAGGAGCTATGTTCAAAAATCTGAAACTAGAGCTCAAAATTTGAAAAAAAATAGTTAAAAACAGGGGGTTGGCCTATTCCATGGCTTCTAGAGAAAAATAATGAGGGGTGTCACGGGGTATGACTATATAGGTCTTGTAGAGGAGAAACAGGCGCATCTTTTGCGTAAGGTATCGAAGGGCGCTATGTTCGAAAATCTGAAACTAGAGCTTAAAATTTGAAAAAAAATTGTTAAAACAGGGGGGTTGGCCTATTCCATGGCTTCTAGAGAAAAATAATGAGGGGTGTCACGTGGTATGACTATATAGGTCTTGTAGAGGAGAAACAGGCGCATCTTTTGCGCAAAGTATCGAAGGGCGCTATGATAAAAAATATGAAACAAGAGCTCAAAATTTGAAAAAAATTGTTAAAAACAGGGGGAATGGCCTATTCCATGGCTTCTAGAGAAAAATAATGAGGGATGTCACGGGGTATAACTATATAGGTCTTGTAGAAGAGAAACAAGCGCATCTTTTCCGCAAGGTAACGAAGGGCGCTATGTTCAAAAATCTGAAAGTAGAGCTCAAAATTTGAAAAAAAAATATTATAAACAGGGGTTTGGCCTATTCCATGGCTTCTACAGAAAAATAATGAGGGGTGTCACGGTGTATGACTATATAGGTCTTGTAGAGGAGAAACAGGCGCATCTTTTGCGCAAGGTATCGAGGGGCGCTATGTTCAAAAATCTGAAACTAGAGCTCAAAATTTGAAAGAAAAATTAGTTAAAAACAGGGGTTGGCCTATTCCATGGCTTCTAGGGGGAAAAAAATGAGGGGTGTCACGGGGTATAACTATATAGGTCTTGTAGAGGAGAAACAGGCGCATCTCTTGCGTAAGGTATCGAAGGGCGCTATGTCCAAAAATCTGAAACTAGAGCTCAAAATTTGAAAAATACTTGTTAAAAACAGGGGGAATGGCCTATTCCATGGCTTCTAGAGAAAAATAATGAGGGGTGTCACGGGGTATGACTATATAGGTCTTGTAGAGGAGAAACAGGCGCATCTTTTGCGTAAGGTATCGAAGAGCCCTATGTTCAAAAATCTGAAACTAGAGCGCAAAATTTGAAAAAAAAAGTGTTAAAAACAGGGGGGTTGGCCTATTCCATGGCTTCTACAGAAAAATAAAGAGGGGTGTCACGGTGTATGACTATATAGGTCTTGTAGAGCAGAAACAGGCACATCTTATGCGCAAGGTATCGAGGGGCGCTATGTTCAAAAATCTGAAACTAGAGCTCAAAATTTGAAAAAAAAAATAGTTAAAAACAGGGGGTTGGCCTATTCCATGGCTTCTAGGGAAAAATAATGAGGGGTGTCACGGGGTATGACTATATAGGTCTTGTAGAGGAGAAACAGGCGCATCTCTTGCGCAAGGCATCGAAGGGCGCTATGTCCAAAAATCTGAAACTAGAGCTCAAAATTTGAAAAAAAAATGTTAAAAACAGGGGGAATGGCCTATTCCATGGCTTCTAGAGAAAAATAATGAGGGGTGTCACGGGGTATGACTATATAGGTCTTGTAGAGCAGAAACAGACGCATCTTTTGCGTAAGGTATCGAAGGGCGCTATGTTCAAAAATCTGAAACTAGAGCTCAAAATTTGAAAAAAAAATTGTTAAAATCAGGGGGGGGGGGGGGGGTTGGCTTATTCCATGGCTTCTAGAGAAAAATAATGAGGGGTGTCACGGGGTATGACTATATGGGTCTTGTAGAGGAGAAAAAGGCGCATCTTTTGCGCAAGGTATCGAAGGGCGCTATGTCCAAAAATCTGAAACTAGAGCTCAAAATTTGAAAAAAAAATGTTAAAAACAGGGGGGTTGGCCTATTCCATGGCTTCTAGAGAAAAATAATGAGGAGTGTCACGGGGTATGACTATATAGGTCTTAAAGAAGAGAAACAGGCGCATCTTTTGCGCAAGGTATCGAAAGGCAATATGTTCAAAAATCTGAAACTAGAGCTCAAAATTTGAAAAAAAATTGTTAAAAACAGGGGGTTGGCCTATTTCATGGCTTCTAGAGAAAAATAATGAGAGGTGTCACGGGGTATGACTATATAGGTCTTGTAGAAGAGAAACAGGCCCATCTTTTGCGCAAGGTATCGAAAGGAGCTATGTTCAAAAATCTGAAACTAGAGCTCAAAATTTGAAAAAAAATAGTGAAAAACCGGGGGTTGGCCTATTCCATGGCTTCTAGATAAAAATGATGAGGGGTGTCACGGGGTATGACTATATAGGTCTTGTAGAGGAGAAACAGGCGCATCTTTTGCGTAAGGTATCGAAGGGCGCTATGTTCGAAAATCTGAAACTAGAGCTTAAAATTTGAAAAAAAATTGTTAAAAACAGGGGGGTTGGCCTATTCCATGGCTTCTAGAGAAAAATAATGAGGGGTGTCACGTGGTTTGACTATATAGGTCTTGTAGAGGAGAAACAGGCGCATCTTTTGCGCAAGGTATCGAAGGGCGCTATGATCAAAAATATGAAACAAGAGCTCAAAATTTGAAAAAAATTGTTAAAAACAGGGGGAATGGCCTATTCCATGGCTTCTAGAGAAAAATAATGAGGGGTGTCACGGGGTATGACTATATAGGTCTTGTAGAAGAGAAACAAGCGCATCTTTTCCGCAAGGTAACGAAGGGCGCTATGTTCAAAAATCTGAAACTAGAGCTCAAAATTTGAAAAAAAATATTATAAACAGGGGTTTGGCCTATTCCATGGCTTCTACAGAAAAATAATGAGGGGTGTCACGGTGTATGACTATATAGGTCTTGTAGAGGAGAAACAGGCGCATCTTTTGCGCAAGGTATCGAAGGGCGCTATGTTCAAAAATCTGAAACTAGAGCTCAAAATTTGAAAGAAAAATTAGTTAAAAACAGGGGTTGGCCTATTCCATGGCTTCTAGGGAAAAAAAATGAGGGGTGTCACGGGGTATAACTATATAGGTCTTGTAGAGGAGAAACAGGCGCATCTCTTGCGTAAGGTATCGAAGGGCGCTATGTCCAAAAATCTGAAACTAGAGCTCAAAATTTGAAAAATACTTGTTAAAAACAGGGGGAATGGCCTATTCCATGGCTTCTAGAGAAAAATAATGAGGGGTGTCACGGGGTATGACTATATAGGTCTTGTAGAGGAGAAACAGGCGCATCTTTTGCGTAAGGTATCGAAGGGCCCTATGTTCAAAAATCTGAAACTAGAGCGCAAAATTTGAAAAAAAAATTGTTAAAAACAGGGGGGTTGGCCTATTCCATGGCTTCTACAGAAAAATAAAGAGGGGTGTCACGGGGTATGACTATATAGGTCTTGTAGAGCAGAAACAGGCGCATCTTTTGCGTAAGGTATCGAGGGGCGCTATGTTCAAAAATCTGAAACTAGAGCTCAAAATTTGAAAAAAAAAATTGTTAAAATCAGGGTGGGGGGGTTGGCTTATTCCATGGCTTCTAGAGAAAAATAATGAGGGGTCTCACGGGGTATGACTATATAGGTCTTGTAGAGGAGAAAAAGGCGCATCTTTTGCGCAAGGTATCGAAGGGCGCTATGTTCAAAAATCTGAAACTAGAGCTCAAAATTTGAAAAAAAAATGTTAAAAACAGGGGGAATGGCCTATTCCATGACTTCTAGAGAAAAATAATGAGGGGTGTCACGGGGTATGACTATATAGGTCTTATATTGGAGAAACAGGCGCATCTTTTGCGCAAGGTATTGAAGGGCGCTATGTTCAAAAATCTGAAACTAGAGCTCAAAATTTGAATTTTTTTTTATTAAAAACAGGGGTGTGGACCTATTCCATGGCTTCTAGAGAAAAATAATGAGGGGTGTCACGGGGTTTGACTATATAGGTCTTGTAGAGGAGAAACAGGCGCATCTTTTGCGCAAGGTATTGAAGGGCGCTATGTTCAAAAATCTGAAACTAGAGCTCAAAATTTGAAAAATAAAATGTTAAAAACAGGGGGATTGGACTATTCAATGGCTTCCAGAGAAAAATAATGAGGGGTGTCACGGGGTATGGCTATATAGGTCTTGTAGAGGAGAAACAGGCGTATCTTTTGCGCAAGGTATCGAAGGGCGCTATGTTCAAAATTCTGAAACTAGAGCTCAAAATGTGAAAAAAAATTGTTAAAAACAGGGGGGTTGGCCTATTCCATGGCTTCTAGAGAAAAATAATGAGGGGTGTCACGGGATAGGACTATATAGGTCTTGTAGAGAAGAAACATGCGCATCTTTTGCGCAAGGTATCGAATGGCGCTATGTTAAAAAATCTGAAACTAGGGCCCAAAAGTAAAAAAAAAAGGAAAAAACAGAGGGGGTTGGCCTATTGGTGTAATACCTCCATTGATTTTCTTTTTTTTTTTTTTTTTAAATTTGCAGTTTTCAAAAAAATGTGGAGAATTTATCTTTGTTTCTAATTAAAAAATTAACATAACATTTCATTGCATATAAGAAAATAACTATCACTGTCAGTTAACCAATCAAATTTGCCCCTTATTTAACCTGTGTACAAGCTTTAGTAACCATGCAACCTCAAGTTTCCAAAATATTCTACAGAACCCCCCCCCCCCCCCAAAAAAAAAAAAAAAATGATGCTTTGAAATACCCAAGATACATGTATATGTTTATGACCCAGAAATGTTTTACTGCAATAAAATGATGGATTAATTACCTACAACTGTCAAATTCAAGGGAATATTTTTTCGACCTATTTTCGTCTGCAACCGGATGTGACGTACCATGCATTAATTGGTGTATTACACCTATTCAATGGCTTCTAGAAAAAAAAAATGTGGAGTTTCACGGGGTATAGCTATATAGGTGTTGTAGAGGAGAAACAGGCGCATGGTTTGCGCAAGGTTTCGAGTTGCGCTTTGTCCAAAAACTGAAACTAGGGCTCGGAATTTCAAAAACAATTTGGGAAAAACAACTGGAATTTGCCTATTCCATAGCCTCTGGAAAAAATAATGAGGGATGTCGCGGGGTAAGACTATAAAGGTCTTGTAGAGGGCACACAGGCGCATAGTTTGCGCAAAGCTTCAAGAGGTGCTATGTTTAATTATGTCGAAAGGAACTTAAATTTAGTGAGGAACAAAGCCAACTCAAATGTCAGACAAGAACGTGAAAATCGTGAAAAAGACATATCAGAGTCAGCAAAGAAGAATTTCTTGTCATATGAAGTCGAAATGAAAATCCAAATTCCCCCATCCGAATTATATGATGAAAGAGATTGTAAAATGTGTTATGTAAGTACTGATAAAGAGAAGGCTGAACACTGGCTGAATTTTTTTCAAGAGTATTTCGAAAAAGAAAACGATGAAGATGAAAGAACTTTAGTGCGAAGGCCAGCTGGTATACAACCTAAAAATCTATATACTATTACAGACTTAATAGACAGTCTACTTTGTATTATTTTCAAAAGTCTATTTATATCAGAGGTTTTGTACCAGAATAAAACAAAATC